CTGCTTCGGCCATTCTTAGACTCAGAAACATGGCTGCTTCGGCCATAGACACGACGACAAGTGGCTGCTTCGGCCACGGCGGACACGACAGCTCCTGGCGCTTGGGCAAAAAAGGGCGTGTTTCAAACTGGGCGTTTAAACTCTGTAAGACTGCGAGGTTTCAACTTTTGAAATTTCAGGGTATATAGCGGTGTTTGAGGCTTAGTTTTTGTTGGGTTAAAGTTGTTTCACAGACCTTTAGGGCTCAAGGCTTCAGGGTGTTACGGGCTTAGTAGGGGAGTTTAAGGTTTATTCTTTAAGACCTTCAAACCTTTTCCCCAAACCATTTATGTATTTGGAAAGCCCTCTTTTAACCTTAAGCCTCCTAGCCTAACCCTAAATCCTGATTTTTCAGTGCCGCCGCCGCAGCTGTCAGCTGACCAAAACATGGCAATGGTGACTAAACATTAAAAACTGCATGAGTAGCAAATTATTCAAGGTCTGCTCAGCTAAGACTACGTAAACAGCTGAATTGAAATCTCAAGCAGTCAAACAGTATATGTGAGTAATCCTGCACGTTTTCTAGTCGCTGCTTCGGCGACTAAGCCCGGCTGCTTCGGCCGGCCCGGCTGCTTCGGCCGGCTTGGCAGGCCATGCCACCCAAAAAAAATGACGCAAAGCCGGCAGGGAAAGCTAAAGCTAAAGGGAAGGCTAAGGCTGCAGCAGTGGCAAGCGTGCCGGACGCAGCTGTGCCGCTGCTCGACAACAGTGAAGGCAATGCATGCGCAGACCACCTGATGAAGGTGCATGAGGCACTGCAGCTCATCCGGGACCACCCGATCTTTGCAGGGATCGACAGCGCCGCGCCCCTGTCCATCGCGCAGGGCGGGAAGCAGTCGCCGTTCTGCTTGAGCGATGCCGTTCAGGCTCTGAAGGCCCAGGGCGACACCTATGAGGCTGCGGGCAACTTCATGTGGCAGGACCACATTTGGCTCGCCAACCACAGAGTGCCAATGAATGCAGGCCAGATCCGCGCGATCCAAGCTTTCCATCTTGATCCGCTGAAACCGCCTCGCAGCTGGCCTTACGAGCTCGTACTGGCGGTTGACAAAGCAGATCGCGGATGTCTGGACCCGCCACACGGGCTACAGCGGCTGAGTCCGGCCGAGCCCTGCCACGCCCTGCTGTTTTCTGTGCAGACAGCAATTCAGCAAAAAGCAGGCGACACCACCTTAAAGGCTTGGAGGAACGTGCTTCTCACAGTCTCCACGACTTTCGAGTTGCAGCCTCTGGGTGAGGAGCGATTTTGGCGTGCCCAAAACATCCGTGAACACCAAGTGCAAAAAGGCCTGGTGGTGCAAGTGTCGCTGCGGCAGAGAGTTTTCGATGTGATTGGCTTTGCGACGGCCAACAACATCTGGACGGCCAGCCAGGTCGCCAAAGCCTATGAAAAGGTGAAACTGGCGGACAATGCCGAGCCCATCAGCGCATCATTTGTCGACAGTGTCCTGACAGTGAACCGTAGGATACTGTCAGTGGAGGCCTGCCGCAAGCTTTGGGAGTGGTGCGACCAGCACTTCCTCACCAAGAACCCTTTCAAGTCCATTTGGACTTTGCAAGGTCTGATCGACCGAGCGAAGGGCCCGGCCGAGATCACCTTTGCGATGCAGGGCCTCATCGACGGCTACCGGAAGGGATTCGTCGACGTCGGTATGTTTGCCGCCTCGAAGATCAAAGACCCGCGGACGAGCCCCTTGGCTGCCAAATATTTGTT